CGTACGACGAGCGGCTGCGCACGCTGGCCAACGTGCGCGACGCCGGCATCAACGTCTGCAGCGGCGGCATCCTGGGGCTGGGCGAGAAGGACGAGGACCGCGTCGGCCTGATCTTCACCGTGGCCAATCTGCCCAAGCACCCCGAGAGCTTCCCGGTCAATGCCCTCGTGCCCATCCCGGGGACCCCCCTGGGCGATCGCAAGATGATCCCCTTCGATCGCCTGCTGCGCACCGTCGCGACCGCCAGAGTCGTGCTGCCCGCCACCATTGTGCGGCTGGCCGCCGGCCGCATCTCGTTGTCGGAGGAGCAGCAGGTCGCCTGTTTCCAGGCCGGCGCCAACGCCGTGTTTACGGGCGAGAAGATGTTGACTACCGACTGTAATGGGTGGGATGAGGATCGCGAGATGATGGATCGCTGGGGGTATTATCCTATGAAGAGCTTTGAGAGGGAGGGGTTGGAGGCTGAGGTGGCCGGCAAGAAGGAGGAGGCCGAGCAGGCGGCTGTCTTGGAGGAGAAGGTGAGGGAGGTGTCTGCGCAGGTCGCGACCAGTTTGTGATTTGGGTTTGTTAGTGCTTAGATTTCGAGAAATGGCATTTATGATTCGTATCCTCTGCATTGTGGTGGTTGGGTTAGTCTGGATTGGATGTTGTGTTCCGATACTTGGCTTGGCTCATTCGCTGTAATCGGGTTGATCTTGTAGTGTTAGAGACAGCATTGGTGCTAGAGACAGCGTGAATCCATCATGTAACCCCCCAAATTGCAAGGCATTATCTCCACCGGACATCAAACTACTCCCTCTCCGTCTCGAAATCCTTCTGCACCCGCGCCGCAAACTCATCGTCCACCAGCACCTGACACGCCACCACCGCCATCCCCGCCGCGCACGCCATCCCCCGCTGATACGCCTCGAGCGAGCCCGCGCCCTGGGTGAACCCGGGCGTGTGGTTGACCCCGTCGGTGGGGATGGTGAAGATGCCATGGAAGCCGGGCACGGCGTACGACACATTGCCTGGTCCGATTAGCACACTCCCAAGCAACGAAGACCAACGGGGGATGAAATACGTACCCTGGTCCGTCGACGCCCCGGTAATCGCACTCTTCTGCCCCGTATTGTCGAACAAGGTGAGATGGCCCATCGCCCGCATGACGGCGACGTAGCTCTCGCAGATGGGGTTATTCGTTTTGAGATCCGCATATGACGGACCCCTACCACTCAAACATCAGCACCAGCATACCCCTGACCTCAACTCACTCTCAGAAACAGAAGAACGTACCACTCAAACGCGACCTCGCACCCCGTGGCGACCGCCGCCGCCTCAAAGCACTTGACCACCCGCTCCGACAGCCCCTTCAGCGACTTCACCGTCGGCGACCGGATGTAGTAATCCACGGCCGCGCTGCGCGGGATGACATTCGGCCGCTCCCCGCCGTCGACAATCACCCCGTGCACGCGCTGCGTGGGCAGGATCTGCTGCCGCAGCAGCGAGACATTCACGTACGCCGCGACCACCGCGTCCAGCGCGTTGACCCCCTCCCACGGCGCCGCCGCCGCGTGCGCCGGCCGCCCCGTGAACGTCACCCGCAGCTTGTCGTTGGCCAGGTAGCCGCCCGGCAGCACGGTGGCCAGGGTCAGCAGCCGCGGGTTCTGCGGCGCCATCGGCACCGGGTGCACCATCAGGCACGCGTGCACCCCCGTGTACGCGCCCCGCTTCAGGAGCTGGATCTTGCCGCCCCCGGATTCCTCGGCCGGCGTGCCGAGCAGTTTCACCGTGAAGTTGGCGGCAGCGGCGGTGGATGATGATGAGGTGGTGGTGGCTTCAGTCCGCATGGCGTGGCAGGTGGCGAGGAAGGCGGCGATGGAGCTCGTCGCGATCAGGTTGTGGCCGCACGCGTGGCCGATGCCGGGCAGGGCGTCGTATTCGGCGTTGAAGGCGACGACGCGCCCGCGCGACGGGTCGCCGTGCGTGTAGGTAACCTCGAGGGCGGTGGGGATGTCGTAGGCGGAGCGCTGGATGGTGAAGGTCAAGTCTGTGGTGGTGGTGAGGGTGTCGAAGAGGGTGCAGATGGCGTCGTGGGCTTGGTGTTCCTCGTACGCTAGTTCGGGGTTGGACCAGATCTGGTGAGTTGGTTAGCTCGAGTGGTTGATGGAGGCTCATGTCTGTGATGAATCCCTGTGGGAGTTTTTGTAACATAGGTGATTAGGATGGCTACCTTCTGGTTGATGTTCTGTAGTTGGGTGTCATAGTTGCGCAGGGTTTCCTGGACGCTTGCGATGAAGCGTTCTTGGGCGGTTTGAACAGTCATATTGGGTGCTTTGACAGTGGAATCCTGCCTCCTCGTGAGGATTAGACATGATGGGCGCTATTTTATATCTGTGCGACTCAGACCGTCAGAATCTCCCCCTCTGGTGATGCGGAGATGCGGAGATGCTCGCCGCAGTTCATGCCCGGCTTATCAGGCATTCCATTCCACCCGCTTATCGATCGGCTGCATTGCCGAAGCGGAGTGGGCTCCGCTTGCCGATCTAATTGGCTCAATGCCGCTGACAGTCACCTGACCCCTGCCGACCCAGCCAATCGCGTTGTCTGCCTCGGCACTTTGCGCGGCCCGGCTGTTTCTCCGGACTGGCTCCCTTCTGGACAATATCGCGACGACGAGATCATCGGCACTCTTCCCCTCACCTTGCAGTCTCCCTATCGCTTAGCATTGGCTTATCTGCGTGGTAGCATCGCTTACAGCCTGTCAGTCATCACATTAATCGAATATACATGACCCTGACAGACCCCCACTCGACACAACCCCTCCGCGAGCAAATGACCCAGTGGAGCGCTGCCGAACTCCAGCAGCACTATCGGGATGCATAAGCTCGGCAAGAAGACTCGCTCCAGGACCGGTGAGGATCCACTCGGATACCCTGTCAGGAGTGATCCTGGAATGATTCACCGATCGACTGACGTTACGCAGGCTGTCGCACGTGTCGAATCCGCAAGGTCAAGTGCGACGAGGAGAAATTGGCCGTCCCCGGCCAGCCTGAACCGCAATGTCGGCGTTGCACCGCCGCCCGCATCCTGTGCGAGTGGAAGGGCGGCCCTATCCCTCGGCCTTCTGCCAGGAGAAATGTTTCCGCATCCACTACCAAGGAAGTAGTACAGAAGACGGAGGGGAATGCGGGTAGCCCGGCCCATAGTACGACCGCACGAAAGAGCCCCCCTACGACAACAACGACGACGACGACGACGACGCCGCCCCCTCAATCCCTTAGGATTCTCACCCTATCGTCGCCCGGAGGCAAAAGCAGGCCCGTGCAAGCGGCCAACTCGCTTGTGCTGACCGGCTTCGACCGCTCGTGCATCGCCTACCTCCAAGACTCCGCGCTGGTCGTGCTTCTTGGCAAACACTGGCCGTGGTCCGCCATGTCGTACGCCTACCACAAGATCGCGGTCCGGGAGCCCATGGTGATGAGTATGTTGTTAGCGAGTACGGCGAGCGAGATCCGTCGCGCCCAGCTCTACGACAGTGAACAGCCACGGGACGCGGTCGAGACGGTGGCAGATCTGGGGGGTCGCATGCATTACGGACGGGCGCTGGCCGGTCTGCGGGAGGCACTGCGGCCGGAGGTTGAGAAGTCGTCGGAACAGCTGGAGGCCATCTTCATCACTTTGTGGCTGATGATCGACTACGAGAACCGCTTCGGGAGCGGCACCGCGGCCATCAATGTGCACATCCGGGGAATCGAGAGTTTGCTCTTCAACCATGTCGTTCCGCTATTGAAGCCTGCCTCATCCGTATCGGCGCTTAGCGTAGAGGGGGGAAGGGCAGGTGCCGGCGCCTTGCCCTGGGGGAATCCGACGAACGCCGCTGTAGATAGCACCGAGAGGACAACCATGTTGCCGACGAGTAGTTTGCCTGGGCTCGCGACCAGCAAACTCCGTCACACAGCGGTACCACTCTTCCTACTGTGGACGTTGTACTTCTTCACTCCCGGGGCCCTCTTCTGCGGGCCTGCGGCCGCCCGACTCGACGCCGATCTCTTCCGGTTCTTCATCCAGGACGAAGCCGAACAAAGAGGCCTGAGCCTGGCGGAGCTCTACCGCATCGGCCGCCAATCGCCCCGCCGCTTCTGGGGCGACTCGTACCCGACGGCGGCGCAGCTGGACGACATCGAGAATCAGCCCGCGTTGGTCCTCTACCACCGAAGTCATGTCATGCAGTTCAAGATCACCGAACTCTGGCGCCAAGGCCAGCAGACTTCGGAGGTATCGTATCGTCGTCTCGTCGACGAACTCGCCTTGGTCCTGGAGGTATGTTTGCCATTTCGTAGACTTCCCTTCCCTATCACCTCAGACGTGCTAACCCCCAGGAAGCAAAACGACAGCATCCTCACCACCGCCCTAACCGCCCCAACCTGCGACTTTGCCAGCCGACGCGTCCTGGAAACCATCTTCTGGGCGACCATCACCTTCTACGGCACGATCGTGTACTTCCATCTCTGCTTCAAGGACACCGTCCCGCCGACGTCGACCACCACCACCCAACAACGCACCGCACAGCTACCTCCGCTGGAAACCGCCGTCAACCAGGTATTATCTCTCTCGCTCAAACTCCACCGCAGTCGACCCCACCTGATGGTGCGGATCATCTGGCCGCTGTTCATCGCGGGGATCGCGACCCCGGACCGCATCTACCAGGATTGGGTATCGATCCGGCTGCAGGAGCTGGGCCGGTACGGGCTGAACTACAGTCGCGTGAGTCGGCGGTTCGACGAGATTGTGATCCAGGGATGTGACCCGTTCGTGTCAATTTCTGCTTCTTCCGCCGATGTCGATACTCCTGCGGAGGAGGTGCTGGATGCGGAGGATCTGGGGCCGGTGCCAGGCACGGGGCTGGGCCTACCGATGCGGATTGGTTGAGCACTACGATTGTATGAAGGAAGTCACTCGCATCGATGGCCCCCCTAAGGTCGATTAAGAAATAGACACGGGGCTTGAGGCAGGCATGCGACATGCGGTGGCTTCAGGGAATGATTCTAGAAGCTAGTATTTTTCTTGGGTTTGCTGTGTTCTTGCTTGGCGATGATGCATGATCGGGATCATGATGCATATTTCGCTTGTTTACTTTTACTAATAGAAACCAGAGATCCCGTTGCTGGGTTGGGGTTCATTACCAAGGATGATGCGTGCGGGGCACGCTGAAGAGAGGCGAGGCTGTACGCCCAGCAATTACACTGAACCTTACACAGGGGGGGTGGTACAACACACGTTACTTCATAGCAGGAATCGCTAACGCAAACGCAAACGCCAACCCCCAAGACCAAGACCAAGACCAAAACCACCATGTTCCAGACAACGCGCCAGCCAACCACAACCCAAGACGCCAGGAGACCACCCTTACCCACCCTAACCGTGATACCAACCGACAACTAGAACACCTGCACGCATTCTTGGCGACAGACTCGGCGGCACCAAAATAGCACAGAAAAAAAAGAAAGACGGATAATCGGCAAGCAAGCGCATCATACCACCACACGCACAGCAAAGCCAGTCATCATGATTCAACTGGAACTATGCTTCAACGACGCCTGACAGATCGGACACCGATACCGATGCTGCTCGACCCACAGAACCAAGCACGCGGCATGGAAGACGTGGTTACAGCGATTCAGCACCACCACCTCATCCTGTTGTGGATGCGGTTGCGGTGGCTGTTTTTCGGTCGGTGCATGCTGCTGCTGCTGCTGCTGCTGCTGCTGCTCTGCGTCTAGCTCCGTGGAGCAAGAAGACGAGGAAAGCGATAGCGGCACCGACCCGCGGCGCCAATCGCCCAATCCGGATTCCAATCCTAATCCCCGTTCGAGATCGGAGTCGACTGCGTTGGTCGGTGCCAGCACTCCGCTGCCGCTGTGGTAGCCTCGCTGGGGAATCCATGCGGGTTTCGGTTGTGTTGGCGGGAGGTTGTTGGTGGTGGTGGTAGGAAACTTCTCGTTTTCGTCTACTTTCAGATGCTCGAGACAGATGGCACTAGCAGGGCATAAGATTAGCATAATAGCATACCTTTTGCGCAATACCGAGAACGGGGTGGCAAATTGCGATAATCCACGGAGATAGGCGATGCGATGGGTCCTGATACTCCAGAAATGAGAAAGATAAGGGAGGGAGGGAGGGAAATCCTCGCCAAGGGATCCCGCCAAGAATTTCCGCCAAGAAGGGACTCTTGGCTTTCCTCTCACTGAATCAATCCTCCGAATACGCGGGATGGGGTGGGGGGTGGGGAGATACCCGATGACATAAGCAGCAACCCAAAAGCCAAAGGCATACGAAATCAGACAGGGAAAAGCGAGTCGGGAGCCAGCCAAGCCAGCCAAGAAAAACAACCCAGAACAACCAAACTTTGAAGTTTCTGGACCCCCGCCGAATGCGGAAACCCCAATAAGACAGCCTGAAGGGAACAACGTACCAGGATTCCTGGGCATAATGCCAGGTCTCGTTGGTGCCCGAATGGGTTTGTTCTTCGAGCCAGCGCTCCACGCTGATCGGGAGCTGTTGCATCGAGGGACTGCCAGTCAGCGCTTGGAGGGCGCTGTCCCGCCGGAGGGGGTCGGCGGTGGTCGCGGTGGTGGATGTGCCGCCGGCCGCGGCGGCGGTGGCGGCGCGACGTCGGCGACGGTGCCATGTTATAGCTCTTGCGTTGTTGCCATATTGTTAGTGATGGTGCTGTTGATGCTGTTGAGACTGGTGAAGAGTGTTTGGTCGTGTTTGGGGATATGTAGGATCTGGTGAGGTCACTGCTGCTCGGTGACCCTCCCCTCCCCTCCCCTCACCTCATCCCTCATCCCAACTCAAAAGAAAACCAAGATCTTGGCGCCAGGATATGTGATACGCCGGAAAACGAGATAAGATCTTGGCGGCTTTCCTTAAGAGGCTCTTTTGGGGGGTAGGTAGGGCTGGAGGGAGAGGAGGGGGGGATGTGGGTGGCCGGAGACCAGAATGACGAATCTCTCACGAATGAGCGCTCCTCCACCCACCCAACCAACACAAACAGCGGCGGCGGGGAAAGCAAGACAACAGAGAGAGAAACTTACATGGGCAAAAAGCTAATGACGATGAACAAAGCCACGGCTCCGATGATCACGCCGACGATTTCGCCACTTGGGGGGGGAGGGTCGTGCTCCGTCATCGGCAATGTTGTTAGTTTAGTTGGATGTGTGTGTGTGTGTGTGTGTGTGTGTGTGTGTGTGTGTGTGAGATATGCGAATCACAATATGATCAGGGAATCGATGGGGACCACGTGAAGCTGCGCTGCGTGAGAGGTATGATGTATAGAACGTATTCCTACATAAAAGTTGGATGTAAGAATAGTCAGACAGACACGCAGGGCATCCAGCCGTGGCAGGTAGCAAGCATAAGATAAGTTTTTCGAAAGGGCTAATGCAGTATAGTATGTAGTCGATGGCAGAGAGCAGAAAAGCAAGACCACAAAAAAAATAAAAATCACACAAAAGTTCGGACCAGCCGACCGGGGGTGGGAACACTTTAAAGTGTGTGCCCCCTATTTGTTATCTGAGTTACAGTATTGCTTTGGTTGTTTCAACTCGACCTCTCCCTCTTTCCGCCGGACGGCATCACGCAGGAAGGGACCGAAGGGGGGGAAAACGGAAACCCAACACGAGGACAGACTAGAGGCAAAACTGTACTTAACTGTAAATTACGATGCGATGCATCTTCCCGCCAAGGGCTGGGCTGGGCTGGGCTTTTCTGCTCTTTCTGCGCGCTGCGGAACCGGCTTGGCAAGTTGAACCGGCGGGTACACACCCTGGCTCAGCTAATCACATCCCCAGATCCAACCCATGCAGTCACTTCTTCCCATTTCTTCCCCAGACTTGGAACCATGGATGCAAGCACAATTGTCTGCGTCATGGTTGCTGCGGCGATTCCTCTCACTGGACTGTAGGGGTTCTTGGCGGGAGCTGGGCATGACAGTTTCCCCAATTGCCTCCCAATCGCCCCCAATTCACCCACTGTCTCAGTAATGGGGCTTATCGCCGAAGCGAGGTATGCCGAGCGCTGGTGAATGGAGGTAGTCGGAGATGATATAGTTATATAAGGCTGTGTTCCCATCGTTCCTCGGTTCCAGGACATATTCCAAATCGATCGGATGCCAGATCTAGCTAGATCTTTTTATTCAGCAACGACATCTAGACTATTGATGAGTTACGTGGTTTAGAGAGCACTGCCATCATCTATGACATCTTCCAGATAGATTAGATCCCTTGCTTTCTTTTATCTTTTGATTATCAATCTTCGACCTATGAACCGATCCACCTGACTCGGTTCTCGATTGGAAGATGAAATCCAAATCTAACAACAACAGCAATAGCAACAGCAACAGCAACACCCCTGGCACGCGTCTGTCGCAACCGGCGCACTCGTTACCCTGGGAGACCATCCTCCAGGAACTGCACGTGAACCCGGACCAAGGGCTCTCCAGTGCGGAGGCGGCCGCGCGGTTGCAGCAGGATGGGCCGAATGAGCTGGAGGATGACGAGGGGGTCTCGTTGTTGACGATTGTGATTCGGCAGGTGGCGAATGCGATGATGCTGGTGCGTGAAACCCCCTATTATCTACACCTTTCCTACAAAGACAGCAAGCTAACCCCCGTCAAGGTCCTCATCATCGCCATGGCCGTCAGCTTCGGGATCCAATCCTGGATCGAAGGCGGGGTGATCGCGGCGGTGATCGGGCTGAACATCGTCGTGGGCGTGTACCAGGACTTCGCGGCGGAGAAGACGATGGGGTCGCTGCGGTCGCTGAGCTCGCCGACGGGCACCGTCACCCGCGACGGCAAGACCAAGACGGTGCCGGCCAAGGAGCTGGTCGTGGGCGATGTCGTGGAGTTGAAGGTCGGCGATACCGTGCCGGCCGACGTTCGGTGCGTCCCTTGCCCAGAAAAAACTCTTTCGGCATAGAGAAAAACTAACAGCACAACAGTCTCATCGAAACCATGAACCTCGAGACCGACGAAGCCCTGCTGACGGGCGAATCCCTCCCCATCGCCAAAACCCCGCACGACACCTATGCGGCGGACACCGGGCCTGGCGACCGCCTCAATATCGCCTACAGCTCGACGACCATCACGCGCGGCCGCGGCCGCGGCATCATCACCAGCACCGGCATGGCCACCGAGATCGGCCTCATCGCCGCCGCCCTGCACGCCTCCAACCACTCCGCCCGCTACAAGCGCCGCACCCCGCGCACCAACCCGGAGGACGACTCCCCCAAGAAGCGCGAAAAGGTCCTCAACCCCCTCGCCAATCTCTGCCTCTCGACCAGCGCCTACGTCCTCAATTTTCTCGGGCTGAACACCGGCACGCCCCTGCAGCGGAAGCTGTCGGCGCTGGCGCTGGTGCTCTTCGGGATCGCCGTGGTGTTTGCGCTGGTGGTCATGGGAGCGAATGGCATGCGCAATGATCGCGAGGTCATTATCTATGCGGTTGCTACGGGGCTGGCGATGATTCCGGCGTGTCTGGTGGTGGTGTTGACGATCACCATGGCGGCGGGGACGCGGTCGATGGTCAGTCGGAATGTGGTGGTGCGGCGGTTGGAGAGTCTGGAGATGTTGGGGGCGGTGCAGGATGTCTGTTCGGATAAGACGGGGACGTTGACGCAGGGGAAGATGGTTGTGAAGAGGGCTTGGGTGGCGGGTGTCGGGGGCTTGGTGGTTGTGGGTGAGGGGGGTGATGTCCTCGATCCGGGGAATGGGGACGGAGTAAGGTTGGTTTCTGGGCCTGAGGTTGAGGCGGGAGGGGAGAAGGAGAAGGGAGCGAACCCAGACAGTGACGGTCAGCCTTGGGAGGCGCGCAGGGAGGGCTTGTTGAATGCCCACGGGTCAGGCACCCTGTTGCAGCAGTACCTCGATGTCGCGGCCATGGCCAACCTGGCCCACGTGCATTACTCGGACGAGTCGCACGAGTGGCAGGCCCGCGGCGAGCCCACGGATATCGCCATCCAGGTCTTCGCCATGCGCTTCCAGTGGGGCAGGGAGCGGTGGACGGGCGGCCGGAACCCGGTCTGGACGCAGAAGGCTGAGTATCCCTTCGACTCGACCGTCAAGAAGATGTCGGTGATCTTCGAGAATACTGAAACCTCGGCCCAGATGGTGTTCACCAAGGGTGCCGTGGAGCGGGTGCTGGAGGCGTGTACGCAGGCCGTCTGGACCGCAGGCGCAGACGCCACTCCGCTGGACGAGGAGAAGAGGCAGGAGATCCTCCAGAAGATGGAGGATCTCGCGAAAGAAGGTCTGCGTGTGCTCGCGCTGGCCTGTCGGCCGATTGAGCCCCGCGACGAGACGCCCGCGCGCGAGGAGGTGGAGAAAGACCTCACCTTCTGCGGGCTGATCGGGCTGTATGATCCACCGCGGCCGGAGACGGCGGGGGCGATCGAGGAGTGTCGACGCGCGGGCATCACGGTGCACATGGTGACGGGCGACCACCCCGGCACGGCGCGGGCCATCGCGGCGCAAGTTGGGATTATCCCGCGCGACATGGCCAGCGTGGCGCAGGACGTGGCCGACGCGATGGTTATGACGGCCAGCCAGTTCGACCGGCTGAGCGACGAGCAGATCGACGAGCTGCCGACCCTACCGCTGGTCATTGCTCGCTGCGCGCCCACCACCAAGGTGCGCATGATCGACGCCCTGCACCGACGCGGCCGGTACGCCGCCATGACCGGCGACGGGGTCAACGACTCGCCCTCCCTCAAGCGGGCGGACGTGGGCATCGCCATGGGCCAGTCCGGCTCCGACGTCGCCAAGGACGCATCGGAACTGGTCCTGACGGACGACAACTTCGCCTCGATCATCAACGGCATCGAAGAAGGCCGCCGCATCTTCGACAACATCCAGAAGTTCGTCCTCCACCTTCTCGCCGAGAACGTCGGCCTCGCCCTGACCCTGCTCATCGGGCTGGCCTTCAAGGACGAGAACGGTCAGTCCGTCTTCCCGATCGCGCCCGTGGAGATCCTCTGGATCATCATGGTCACATCTGGCCTGCCGGACATGGGACTGGGGATGGAAGTGGCGGCTCCGGATATCATGGATCGACCGCCTCAAAATGTACGTTAGCCCTAACCCCCGTCCACTTTAGCAGAATAGCCCTGAACTAACCCCCCTCACCAGAAACAAGGCATCTTCACCTGGGAAGTGATCATCGACACCCTCGTCTACGGCGTGTGGATGGCAGCCCTCTCCCTCTCGGCCTTCTCGCTGGTGCTCTTCGCCTGGGGCGACGGCAACCTCGCGACGGGGTGCAACAGCGACTACACCTCGGCCTGCGACACGGTCTACCGCGCACGCGCCACCACCTTCGTGTGCATGACCTGGTTCGCCCTGTTCCTGGCGTGGGAGATGGTCGACCTCCGCCGGAGTTTCTTCAGCCTGCCGGCCACCGCATCCGAAAATCAATCCCAATCCAATACCAAAACGTTCGTGTCCCGACTGAGGGGCTGGCTCGCCTCCCTCCGCCGCAACCGCTTCCTCTTCACGGGTATCATGATCGGGTTCGTGACCACCTTCCCGATCCTGTACATCCCCGTCATCAACGACGTGGTCTTCAAGCACATCGGGATCTCGTGGGAGTGGGGGGTGGTGTTTGTCGAGGCCGGGCTGTTTTTTGTGGGTGCGGAGGCGTGGAAGTGGGCCAAGCGCGTGTATTTCCGGCGGGCAGCATATAAATTGCGGCAGGATGGGAAGGGTGGTGGTGGTCGTGGGGGGTTGATGGAGCGGGAGGAGAAGCGGGATTTCAGTCGGTATACCACGATGAGTCGCGAGGAGGGCGGCGGGGTCGTGCAGAAGGAGGTGTCGATGGTTTAGATTTTTCTCTCTCCGGTAAGGAACTTACGGGGGGATGATAGATTCTCTGATAGATTGTGCATAGTTTCTTCATTGCGTTGACTGATGACTCGTTATGTCTTTCCACTTTGGGCACTTGGGGGAAGTGGTCCCCAAGGCTTTGCGGATCCTCAATTACCATATAGCTCTGCTCCTACATGAGGAATTGTGTATTAGTGATCAGAAAGACTCTTCTGTGCCTGTATAAAGGAAGAAAAAGAAACTGAACTACCGATACCACTCTTTTCGACTTGCGATAATGATTGATCAGAATAGATTGTGGAAATTTCGTTTATCTCATTTGACCTTTGATGTAGTCACCATTGAATCACCATATGGAAGAAAGTATTGAGTTCAAAAGCCGAAAGAGAGGCTCGAAATCCTAATCAACGTGTCATGTCATCAACAGCGGCTACAACGGACGCATCCAGAAACTGGTGCAGGGCTCCTCGTCGACCGGCAATACGTGGCGGGCCCAGGACATTGTGCTGGCCGCGGGGGCTCCCCAGCAGAAGGCCACCAGCTTCAAGTCGTACACCACGACCATCCACGTCACGCAGCTGGACGGGGACCTCCCCGCGGCGAACACGATCGTCCAACTGATCGCCAACAGCCGGGTGCCCGTGTATATCAACGGGGTGTATTACGTCCTGTCCGCTGTCGCGCCCGTCGAGGTGCCCACCGACGCGACGGGCGCCCTGACCGTGGTCGAGGCCACCGACAGCCTCCACGCGTCCGTGCTGACGGCGAAATTGACGAATACCTCCCTCACCATCAACCCGATGGATCACACCTTCGACAAGCTGGCTGCCCTTAACTCCACTGATAAGCTGCGTGCCGCTGCGTTCCCCAGTCAGACCGTTGCGGGGGGAGTGGTCGGATCTCCCGACACCACTGCCCTGGTCGACTCCTCGATCGATGATAGCACGGTTGAAGCCGTGGCGCAACATCTGAGCGTCTTCAAAGATGCATATCAGAACCTGAAGGATCCAAAGCACCCTGTCACCACCAGTCCATCCGCAACCACCCCGCCCGCTGCGGTCCAAGTGCCGAGCACGACAACAGCGCTTAAGGCGCCGGCCCACCCAACCTCCTTCTGTCAGACCCGTCCGGCTGCCTTACACCCCGCCTCCTTACACGCCAGAAATGTGCACGTCAGCAACATCAGCTTCCTGGGTGACCTCGGTCGGGCCCTGGACCACATCGGGGATGAGATCGGAGGGCCCATCGGTGGGGTGGTGCATGCCGCCGGCGATGTTGGAAAGGCGGTGGATGGGGTCGTGGATGGCGTGGTGCACACCGCCGAGAAGGTGGGCGATGCCATCGCCAACACCGTGGGAAATGTGATCCACACCGTCGGAGACATCGCAGACGCGGTCGGAAACGCCATCACAACAGCCGCAGGAGACGTCTTACAGTGGGTCAAGCACGAGGTGAAGAGCGTCGGACGCATCATTCATGACACCGTCACCGGGACGCTGCATCTGGTGGCGCAGATCGGGAGCAAGGTCTACCATGCGGTCTTGGACACGGCCCACGCGGTGGTCGGGGCGGTGCAATGGGTGTTTGACAAGGTCAAGACCGGCATCCAGAAGTTGATCCAGTTCGTGGAGATGCTGTTCCAGTGGGATGATATCCGCCGGTGCAAGGATGTCATGCACAACACCATCAAGCTCTACCTGCAGAACGAGGTCGAGTACATCCGCACGGCCCGAGATTTCCTGGATCGGGAGATCGGGAAGGCCCAGCAGAGTCTGAATCAGTGGAGTGGGATCACCGACTGGTCGGGTCTGGGGGATGCATCGAGTAAGGCCGTCGCGGCCAGTGCCTCCAATCCTCACAAGGATCAGACCTCCGCCTCGAAATTCCTCGCCGATCACTATCAGAACAACGCGAGCCAGATGGCCGTGGTCGGGGACCACCCGACCATGGACGCCGTCGAGCAGTTACTCACGGACCTGATCCAGGCCATCGCCCGGGAAGGACACGTGCTGGAGGGGGTGTACAAGGAACTCGTGCAGCTGGCCCACGACTTCAGCAGCTTGAGCGTGGAAGCCATCCTGCGCCGGGTGGTTGGCATCCTGGCCGACGGGGTCTTGTCCAGCGTGCAGGTGGTGGTTGACGCGGTGCTGAATCTCCTGTACGATGTGGCCGAGGTCGCCATCGCCCTGGTCGACACCAAGATCCACATCCCGGTGATCTCGGACATCCTCAATGCCGTGGGAGTCCCGGACATCTCCCTGCTCGACCTGCTATGCTGGATCGCCGCCGTCTCCTTCACCATCGTCTACAAGGTGGCGTACCAACACGCGCCCTTCCCAGCCCACGACCCGGCCGTCCAGACCATCCTGTCCGCCAGCCACTGGGAAACCGTCGCAGAGGACTTCAAGCGATCCGAGCACTCGCTCAAGCGGCCCACCTTCCAGGGCTTCCACGGGACGAGCGGGCTGATGGCCCTGATTGGGAACCCGCTGAATGAGCTCGACGCCATGTCCGAGGCCGGCAGCGGCGGCTTCCTCTCCAAGGCGACCTCCGTCTTCAAGGTGGTGGTCAGCGTGTCGCAGACGGTGGCGGACCAGCTCGTACCCCAGGACCCGCTGCAGGACGGGTCCATCAAGACGATCTCCCACGTCACCTCGGCGCTGGGCCTGCTCTGCTCGCTGTACTTCTCGGGGCTGGGCCAGAAGGCCGTCGGCAAGATCGGGGTGGGCTCGATGAGCGCCAAGAGCACGCGCGGCGTCGGCGCCCTCGTCGGCGTCATGCTGATCCCCTTCAAGCTCGTCACCTCCGGATTCCATTTCTACGAGCTGAGCCAGGATGGCGCGGGGGATATGCGCTCCGCGGCGATCATCGGGGAGGTGTCCAACCTCACCTCCTATGCTTCGCGGATCGCCTACGCGGTGGTGGTGAATGACGAGGACCCGGAGACCCGCGCGGTCGCGGTCACAGTCAAGGCGTTCTGCGATCAGGCCTATGCCGGGCTGCAGGTTGCGGAGACGGCGGTTGGATATCTATGAGCCCCCGTCCGGATGGGTAGAAAGGGGAACGACTAGTTCCGCTAGGAAATTAGGGTACACTGTACATAGTTAGGACAATGCGATACGATCAATCGACTTGGAGAGTTTATACGGAGAGTTTATACGCCGAGAGTAACCATCGTCGTTGTCAGGGAGTCGGGTCATGTAGCGTACGCAGCATTCCCAGTCAGCCCGAACTTGGCTCTTTGTCTCTCCTTGTTTTGCCTGCAATTAGGGCTGCTGTTCCTTTCGAGGTTGAAGGGGTTTTCCCCTCCTTTCCCCGCCCTTTTGGGGATTCTCTCCCCGTCTCCGCATTTCGAGCTGTTGCACCGATGGAGATCCAATATCAGAAAATGAATTGGTGCATTGTTTTTCTTTTCTGCTAATTGGAGAAAAGGACTGTTGATGTCGATAAGTATGTCTTGCAATGCCCCCTTTTTATTTCGTCTGATCAGGAAGTGGTGAATCATACCCTTGAAGTGACAGCGGTAAGGCTGCTGACCCTCGCAACCTCCTGGCACCCCGGGTGTGCACTAAGAAGAAATTATGTGGGGCATTAGTATTTCAGAACGAATGTGCTTCGTGTGTGATAATTATGGCTATAACAGACTCGTCTTATCATTGATCTGTCACACAGGAAACTTCTTATCAGTTGCCCTACGTCTACGTCTCTTATCTCTCATGCAAAACTCCCCGCTCTCTCCTCACGTGGAAGGCGAAAGATAAGGCTTGGAGTACCGAGTATAAATCACGATCGACGCCAACGCCTCTTTCTCCGCATTTCGGTTGATCCTCTCGGCCTTGGTGAAGTGGTCATCTCCATGAATCATTGAACAACACCATCATCGTCCTTCTGATCAACATTATCCTGAATCCATCCAGCAATTTTCCATCTTGTCAGATGGAGTTGAATGAGCCCCAGCCATAATGACCACAGCCCTAACCACGAAAACGAAAACCAGCAAGGACAACCGCCAAGGCCGTCGCTTCCGAACGGGCTGCAAGACCTGCAAATCGAGACGGGTATGCTTCCACCTGTTCCCAAATGTTTCAGCTCCAAGGCATCAAGGTTAGGATGGAGGCTCATCCATAGGCAAAGATTCAGTGCGACGAAACGAGACCGGCGTGCAACGCATGCGTGAAGCAAGGGCGCACGTGTCCCGGATATCAGCGCGAGTTCAAATGGTCGACGAAACATGAGGTTTCTTCGGGGCGTGCTCGGAGGAGAACGGCTGTGAGCGAGGAGGGGGATTCGATGACAGGCGTGGTAGGGGAAAGTCCCGAGTCGACGGGTTCGACGGTGGAGATGGAGAATAAGCAGCTGGAGGAGGCGTTTGATGCGGTTTCTGGGCTGTTGGCGTCGGAGGGGAATGGAGATGGGGATGGCAATGATATCGGTGGGGGTAATGGTGGAATACCGACGGTGGGGAGCCTGGATGGGCTGGCAGAGTTGTATGGGAGGATCTATGGCGATAGTTTTGGGTGGTTGATGGGGTTAGAGGGGGAAGAGGGGAATGCGAACGCTCAAGCTCAGGTTGTGGCGCAAGTACAGGAAGATTTTCCAGAAAGTACTCAGGCAGACCTTCCTGTGGTTGGCCTAGTGGAAGAGGATGAAGTGGATGAGCCGGCTGAATTCGAAGCACTCCTGCAAGGCGATGTTCTCGCCCTCGAGGACGACGTACCACACCCCATTCTCTCCACCCCATCCATGACAGAAACCACCACTTTCTTGATCGAATACTGGTTCAAGAACGTGTGTTCGATGTGGTCGAGCTTCGACTCCGACCGCAACCTCATCCGCAAACTGGCGTCTCACACGTGGAGCCACAACGCCGCCGTCTTCCACAGTCTGCAGACCATGTCAGCCCTACATCTGTCCGAGCAACTGCCTCACCTCCACGCCACAGCGACCACCTCGTGGACCGCCGCCATGCAGTCCATTCAACAGGAGCTAGCCTCCTTCACGCAGCACAAATCCTCTCCACCCCAATTCCCCACGGGCCTCCTCCTCGCCCTGGCCGGCATCGGCACGACCACCTGCTGGACCGACAGCCAACAACTGGGGATCCCCCTTCTCCAGAAGATGAAAACCATTCTGGCCTACTACAACCAACCGGGCATGCTCAGCGCGGGCACCACGGACCGGACGTACCTCGAGTTCTTCAACGACAGCTGCGCCTACTGGGACATCCTGTGCCGCGTGGTCACCGACGAGCAGGACACCGCGGGCCCTGCAACCACCACTCTCATCGGCCCAATCCCCGATTCCTCCCCGACGACCACAACCACCACAAACACAAACACATTCACCTCCCCGCACCCCTGGGTGGGCGTCTCGCGCCCCATTCTCGACCTCTTCGCGCACACCCTCCTCCTCTGCCGCCGGCACAGCAAGCGCCTCCGCTCCCCCACCCACGCCACCCTGCACACCCTGCAAGAACTCATCCGCGACATCCACGCCGCGCGCTCCCTGCGCCAGACCCTCACATCCACGATCCTGCAGCCCAGCAACCTCACCGAGACCGGGGACGCCCGAACCCCGCTCTCCCATCTGGTAGACGTCGCAGAGGGCTACCGCCTCGCCGCCCTGCTGCACCTGTACCAGACCTTCCCCGATCTCCGCGACGACCGCGCCCGCGAGCTCGGTGCAGCGGACATCTCGACCTGGAGCCTACAGACCCTAGCCCTCGAGCTCCTGGACCTCGTGAAACGCATCCCATTGGAGTCGGGGTCGCGGGTCATCCAGCCGCTGTTGTACCTGTCCATCGCGACGGGGCTGAGGGCGCCGGACGCGCAGAGTGCGGCGGGGCCGCCGCGGCTCAACCAGACGGCGCTGCAGGTGAGTCAGGCGCGGCGGGTGGTGATGCAGCGGGTCAGCGTGTTGGAGTACAGTCTCCCGTCGAAACCGATCCAGGTGCTGAAGGCGCTGATCCAGCGGATCTGGGAGGTCGGGGATCGCGAGGGGGAGGGCGGGGTGGGGGCCGGGAGGGCGAAGCATTGGAGTGAGGTTATGGAGGAGGGGCGGTTGAGGACTATGTTTGGGTGACGTGTTTTGGGGGGATGTTGATGTAAGGAAGAAGGATTGGTGAGATCTTTGGCGTTGTGTTAGCATGGATGATAGGACGGAGGAAAGTATTTGGCTGGGGATTTATGGGCCTCGTCAAGGCTGCCAACTACCTAGTACCTCTCTGATCTTTCCTGATTATCTGAGTACTAAGTATTGTATACATCCAACCTACAAAAGCTAGAGTTAGATCCAGCCGATGGTATCCGTGAGCCACCATGACACGTTCTCGCATCATGTCAACTTGGTCAACTTAAACTTCCGTCCCTTCCGTGGTGGATCGTGCAAGAAAGTATCCATCCTAGAGGGAAACTCAGAATAGCCACCTGGCCGGTTTCCGACCCGAGCCTGCACCCATTGCGGGTGAAAAGAATTACGTTATTAGTTCAAGGATGTGTCATGATGGCTGCATTGGTCTCTATGTAACTCATGAAGTGAAGAATAGTATCCCGACTGTGGTCGTTCTTGCTCATGCACTCAATCCCTTCAGGTTGATACTCTTCGGGCGCTCGATGGGCAAGCCCAATGCACGATCCCAGATCAGCTGCACTAACGGGCCCAGAGCCCGACTCACGCCGAAGGTCACGGTGTAGTACAGCGGTTGCGTGAAGCCGTAGTGATAGAAGAGCACACCCGAGGCAGCATCGACGTTCGGATGAGGGTTCTTGGTCTGTATGATTTGTCAGTATGATTCCCATCTTTCAGAGGGAGAGAAGAAACCCACCTTGCCATGTTCCGTCAACACGCCCGGCGCAATCTCGGACGTCTGCTGCACCAGCTTGAACACCGGGTTGGACTGCACGTCCGGCCGCGCCGCCGCGAAGTCCATCAGCGCCTGGAACCGCGGGTCCGGCTGCCGCAGCACCCCATGTCCGTACCCAGGCACCACGCGGCCCGATCGCAGCGTGGTCCACAGATACTCCCGCACCGCCTCGTCCGTCGCCCCCGACCCGATCTCCGTCTGCATCGCCAGGATCCACCGCAGCACCTCCTGGGCGGCCAGCCCGTGCAGCGGGCCCGCCAGCCCCAACAACCCGGCGCTGTAGCTGAGGAACGGATCGCTGAGGGCACTCCCCACCAGGTGCGTCGTGTGCGCCGACACATTGCCGCCCTCGTGGTCGCCGTGCAGCGCCAGGTACAGGCGCAGCAGATCGTGGAAGTCGCCGTGCGTGGTCGGGTCCCCTTTGCCCAACAGGGCGGCGAAGTTGGCCGACCAGTCGAGCGCGCCGTCCAGCGGCTGCGTGCCGACCTGGTCCACGGCGTCCGGGCGGAAGACCAGCGCGGCGACGCGGGGGATTTTGGCCAGCAGGCTGATCGCATCGTCGAAGGTCGGCTCCCAGTACTCGGTCTTGGGCAGGCCGCGGGCGTACTCCCGGGCGAAGCGGGATTCGGTGTTGAGGGCGGCCACGGCGATGGACAGCTGGGTCATCGGGTGCATCTCCCGCGGGAAAGACTTGATGAGGTCGAGCAGGTGCGGCGGCAGGTGGGACTGCTCGGCGAGCTGGCGCGAGAAGGCCCGCACTTGGGCGGTCGACGGCACCTGGCCCGTCAGCAGCAGCCAGAACATCGCCTCCGGGAGCATCTCCGTGCCCACGGGCCCCTTGGGCAGCTCCCGCTGGCAGTCCTTGATCGTCTTGCCGTGGAACCGGATCCCCTCGTTCGGGTCCAGCACCGACCCCTCCCACAGAAGCGCCTTCAGACCCCGCTGCCCGCCGATGACGTTGCCCACGGTCACCTCGCCGATGACCTGGTCGCTGCGCGCTTTCACTTGTTTGAGGAGATCGCGCTTGGCGGGGATGACGGCTTTGAGGGCGGATTTGAGATCGGGTTCGGTGGCATAGGTGCGACGGAAGAGGGGAGTCTAGAAGGGTGGAAGGTCAGAGAGGGCTTGACGATTTATACCAAGGGAGACGCACTTGAGTTAGTCGCGAGGCAT